TTTTCCTTCATTTCTCCATCCCGTCAGGATTTGGGGCATGCTTGCACATGCACCTCGTGTATTTTTCAAGCTGGGATGGCTGGATTTGAACTGTGGTGTGCCATGTGGGATTAAGTTCCCTAACCACTAGGCTATGGGGCCAGCTGTTGAAAATAGTCTTCATAGACAGAATTAGTGAAGATCAGGTCATACTACAGATGACAGAAAGACACGTAGGCAAAAGGAAGCCATGTGAAGACACAGACGTATGAGAGGAGATTGCCATGTGCTGATGGAGGCAGAGATTGGGATGATGCTGATGCAAACCAAGGAGCACTCAGCATTGACAGCTACCACCTGACCCTAGGAAGAGGCAAAGAAGGAATATACTCAGAGTCCCAGAAGGGTACTGGCCCTGCAGACAACTTGGCTTTTAACTTTGATCCTCCAGAACCATGAGAGAATAAAGTTCCATTGTTTTATTTACTTATCTATTTAAAATTTTAGCTTGCTTCCTTCCTTCCTTCCTTCCTTCCTTCCTTCCTTCCTTCCTTTTCTCTCTCTCTCTCTTTCTTTTTTTTTTCTTAATTTGACCAAAGAGGGACAGAGTGAGAGAGGGAGAGTAGGAAAGTGAGAAAGCAACTCACCAGGTCCAGGGTTTGAACTGTGATGGGCCATGTGGGAGTCCAGCACCTTTAATCAATGGCACCTGCTGGCCCCAATTTCTGTTGTAGTTGTTGTTTTTTGGAGAGGTTTTTGCTATAGGGCATGTGCGCTTGCAAGAAAGACAAAGAGAGACAGAGAGATAGAAAGCGAGAAATCACCCTCCAGAGGGGATGGCCACGCCACAATCCCTTCTCCTCCATTCTCCTCTTGGGATCTTGGGCACGTCCGCACATGTGCCCATCATGAGTTTAAGCCACCGAGTCCTGGACTCGAACTGGGTCGGCTACATTGGAGTTCAGTGACATAGCCATTATGCTAACTGCTTGTTCCAATTTCTGTTGTTGTAAGCCATCAGTTTGTGATATTTATGGCAGTCTTAGGTAGCCAATAGAGCAGGCACCTGCCAGGTGAAGGTGCCCTTTCTTGACCATTTCGGCCCTTCACGTGATCCTTGCCATTTGGTGAGAGAGACCTTTACAAGCCAACTGCCGTCCAGTCTCACTCACATTCTCTAGTCCATTTCTACTTGGGAAGACCAAGTCTTCCAGGCCTGTGCCATGTGTGAGTATCTGGATATGGCTCCAGGCATGCTTTTGCTTTTTATCTTGCAAAGCTTTCTCATGTGGACTTAAGCAGACTTTTCCTCTCAGGAACAGGCTTGCTATAGAACAGTTTCTGCAACTCCCAGGCTTCCGGGATTGAATCTTCTGGAAAGATTCCAGCTGAGGAAGAACCAAGGCAACTGCATCTTCCTGTCCATCAGCAACTTCAATGTCCGTGACTGCTATGAACTGATTTAGCTAAGTCTTCAGGTCAGAGTTCAGCTCCAACCCCAGGAAAGCCTGGGAAATGCCAGACTAGAATGCATCTATCTTTCTGCCATCTGGTTCTGTGACTTCATCTTGAGATGAATGTGGTCTTTTTCCTTCCTGAAGTATTAGTGTGGGAAAGTAGTAAGTGATGGATCTCCATTTCTTTTTCTTTCTTTTAAAAAATGTAATTGTTTTATTTAACTTTATTTATTTATTTATTTAAATTTTATCAGAGAGAGGCAGACAGAGAGAGAAAGAGAGAGAGAGAGAGAGAGAGAGAGAGAGAAAGAGAGAGTGAGAAAGCAAGCTGCCAGGTCTGAGACTCGAACCACAGCTGGCCACGTGGAAGTCCAGCGTCCTTAACCACCTGGCCCCTCTTTTTTTTACTTCGAGCGTTTTATACCTGTAAAAATGTAGACACAGTGGTGACTAGCATTGACCAGGTACTTAAGTTCTTAAGGATAAGCTGAAAAAATGAGAGGATACAAAAGTGAAAATTCAGGGCCAGCTCTGTAGATCGTGGTTAAGGGAGTGGATCTCACATGGCTGACCATGGTTTAACCTAGCCCTAGCGACTTGAAAAACACAGTGTGCATGTGTGTGTGCCCAAAATCCTGACAAAAGGGAGACATGGAAGGAAAAGGATTTTTATATGTCTACATCCCATTGAGAGGGTGCTTTCTCTCCCCTTTTCCCTTCTGGTAAGCACATATACCCTCTGGCTGGAGAAATAAAAAGAAAAAAAAAGTGCCTGATTGTTTTATAAAGAGAAAATTTAATAGATAAATATTTGGTGAATAGTCAAATAAAAACCATGTGATGGATACGGCCATGCCAACTTGGAAGGTGCATTCTATTTTCATGACAGATGGGTTTGTCACGTGCCCAATTCTGGAGTCAGTTTATCTTAGTAATTGAGATGAAGGTATAGAAAGCATTTAGACACAATTCATAAATAGACTGGCACATGGAAAGATAGAAAACAATATCAGAAAAAGTAAGACATATTTTATTGGCTCATGTGTCTGATTTTTGTCTTTGAGAAGGTATTACTTCCATTCATGTAGATGCCATTTACCTATTGATAACAGACAGAAGAAGGATGCCAGAAGAGCTGGAAAAAGAGTCTACCTAGTCACTAAGTCCTTCGAGGAGAGGGAAGGGGAAAGACTTGAGTACTGAGGCTGTAAAACAGGAAGAAGGACTGGTAAGAAGTCTTGTCTACACTTAACTGGGAAGGATACACAACGCAAGGAGGCTAGAGAAACTCCCCATGAAGAATTGTGAGATGATTATAAGAATGTAGGTAAATGTAACCACTTAGGTTCTCTTTAGCCACTTAGGGTATCAATGATCAAGTTATCTGTTTTGCAAAGGAAAAAAACTGAGCGGCTTAAAACAATGTACATTTGTCACCCCACACTGTCTGCAGGTCTGGAGTCCGAACGTTGTTAGCCGGCTCCTTTGGCTCAAGGTCTCTAGAAGGCTCAGTCAAGGTGTTGGCTGGGGCTGTAGGCATCGGAAGGCTCACCTGGGGGAAGGGCCCGCCGCCACATTCACTCACATATTTGCAGAATTTGGTTGGTCATGGATTGTTAGACCCAGGGCCTCGGTTTCCTGCTGGCTGTTGGCTTGGTGCCTTGCTCCTTTTTGTGCTCCACTGGCCTTATGGGGCAGCTCACAACATGGCAGCTGGCTTCCCTCAGAGCAAGCAAGCAAGAGGTCAAGCAAGTCGAGAGGCAGAATCTTTTTGACATCCTTACTTTTTCCATATTCTGTTCATGAGAAGGATGTCCCCAGGTCTGAATTACTCAAGGATGTGAACGCCAGAAGTGGGATCGTTGGACTATTTCAGAAGCTGCCTACTCCATGGGGCATAACCACAGGGCTTTGTCAGAGCTGGTATGTCTGAGAGGTGAATGTTTGCATTCCGGTACTAGGGCAGATGCACATGGAGCTCATTTGCTCATGTTGAATGCTGTAGAAAAATAGAAAAGGTCTTCAAAAATGGAAAGGATGATGATCTATGAAAAAGATATGGTGAAGGAAGTAGAGGTAGCAGGTTGGGAAAGAAAAACCAAGAACCTAAGAGAAAAACAAGAAAACTGCTATCTAAGAAAAATGAGTGCCCATGAACTAGAGTTTCAGTTTAAACATTAAAATAATCTCAGAAGACCCCAGGAGATAGGACAAAACAGAATCATTTATGTAATAAGTTGCTTTAGAGGCATTTGACTGTCCCCACCCACCAGAAATTACTTGACAAGAGACAAAGTGATGCTTCAAATCTGAGGGTACAGCTGCAAGAAGCTTTGAAAGCCAATTGGCAAAGACTCCTTTATATTCAAAATTATGGGCGAACTATGTTTTCAAAGACTGTTTCCTTAAAAGGAGGAGTCTAATTGGAAGAAGAAAACTCACCATGTCGGGAGAAATTACTTTGGAATAGGGCTGTCTTTTCCCTATCCTAGGCAGGCCTGACATCTGGCTCCCACCCTCTCTCTCCCTCCACCCAGTGCCTAGTGCTGGAAGCTGTTGATACATCCTAACACAGGCTCCTCCTCCCTCATTCTCATTTCATTCAGTTTGGTGGTCAGATGTCATATATCCAGAACAAACTTCCTGACCGGTATCTAAAGCAGCATTGACCTGCCCTCTCCTCTTTTATCCTGCCTTTTAAAAAAAATAGCAACTACCACATTTTGAAATTATAGTATGGGCTTATTTGCTTATTGCCTGACTCATCCACATGGAGGTAAAAGCTGCATGAGTCCAAGAACTTTAGCTCACTTCGCTAGGACCTGGAAAAGTGCATCCTTGGCTCTTAGCAATGTTTGCGGAATGAATGCAAGAAAAATAGAATAAGTGAGACCTCTAAATATGTTTGTCGAGTGTGTGGAAGAAAAACAGAATAAGTGAGGCCCATAAACAACACGTCAGCATAACAGAAAAGCGGCGAAAAATGTGAAGAATAAACAATGACAATTTGCTAGAACCGTGCTCACACAAATTCATACCTAGAGAAATAGTTGTGTATGATTTGTAACTCATTAAAAAAACGTCCCGAAAGACTCAAAAGAACCAAGCTACTTGAAAGTATTTTGGATAGCGTTTATGCATGCTTGTGAAACTCTGCTGCGTAGCTACTGTACCTTTCGGAGTCTCTCCCCGGGCTAGTCTCGGGACTCAGCACGAAATGCTCCCTCCCTCTTTTATGAAATGTATTCTTGTCTCTATTTGATTGGCTGTCCCTCCCAGATACCCTTCTATCATTGATAGAACCCCCTGTCCATTATTACCAGACCTACGCATACTATTGGTCCTCTCCGGCAGACAGCCAGCCGCTAGCCGCGCTCAGGTAGGAGGAGTTTCTCAGTGACGTCAGAGGCACTCCCCGCCCACATTCCAAAGGTTGGGCGGAGACTTCCCGCAGCTCCTGCCTCTGGGGAAGGGAGAGAACAGAGATCAAGGACTTCTGATTGGGTCCGGTGGGCAAGACAGCTATCCGATTGGTCACTGCCTTGCAGGAAGGTGGGGTCACAGCTGGGTCCTGGAGCCCAGCTGAGGAGCCCTGGGGAGTCTCGAAGTTTGTGTCTGGAGCTGTTGTGCAAAGTGGGCTTATTGCGTAGGGGTTTTCTTGGCATGAGAGCAGATCTCCTGCCTTTATTTTGGATGCTCATTCCACTTTAATTCCTCAGGCTTCGACGAGGCTCTCCTGTATTCCCCGGAGAGTCTCAGCTCTGAGGACACCGGACAGGAGCTCTAGGGCCGTTCTCTCTCAGGCGGAAGAACGAACGTTTTCCTTAAGTGCATTAGCGACTCACGCACACGTATCCGATCCGCGGAGACAGAGGAGTGTCGCCGGCCCGAGGTGGCTGCGCCCGGCCCCTTGTGCCCTCAGCATCCTCGGCCCAGCGCGACCCGGACCGCCATGGAGGTGCTGGAGAGCGGGGAGCAGGGCGTCCTGCAGTGGGACCGCAAGCTGAGCGAACTGTCAGAGCCAGGGGAGACCGAGGCCCTCCTGTACCACACGGTGAGGACTCGGCGGGGCGGGGCGGGGCTTGGTGGCTTTTAAAGGGAGAAGTGTTGTCATTAGAGGGACAGCTGGGGACTTGGGACCTGGAGGCAGTATTTGGGCAAGGGTGTAGTTTTCTGCCTAAACAGATGAAGGTGGGCAGCTGGTCCTTCTCAACTTTTCCTAAGAGGAAAGGAACTTTATATTCCTTTAGCAACAGACGCTCCCCACTCCTCCCCGCCCCCGAGGCCTTTTCTTATCTGTAATATGATTTCCTACTGCTAACAGCAGGAAAGGAGAGGGATGTTTTGAGATTAATATGCCTCCGCCTAGTTTGCTATTGATTTTTGTAAGAAAGTTTTTCAAAACTAGACAGATAAAATAGCATTTCCCCCCCACGTTCATGTTCTCCTTTTCTTTCCCGCTCTACTTTCTTGACAGTATTTTTTAAAGTACCTATTTGTGTTGAAAAGCCTCCTCCACATAAGGAGGAAGGCTGCTTTATTTGGTTTCTTAAACTGCACACAAAATTACGCTTCCACCCTCTTCAGAGGAAAAACCAGCAAAGAAGTATGGAAAATCTGAGGCAGTTGCATATTTTCAGAAAGGCTCTGGGGAAGGTGGGACAACTAACTCATCAGTTCCTTTTCAGTCTTAATGGCTCAGAGACCTCCTCGGGGATTACTGGCACAGAGCAGGCACGTTTCTTGTAAAGTTTTCAATTTCACCCTTTTGGTATTAAATTTGCGAAATGAAATTGTGTTTCGCTGAAAATAAACAACTTTGTTCGCCATCTCTTTGTTTCTTTCTGATACAGACGCACGTTTGTAATGAGAGTGACAGAGAGAGAGAAGACTTAATGAGAAAACAAGAAGGTTGGCTGTTTCCCCTTCACGGTTCTTTTAATGGGGTCACTACCAGGATATTTGAAACTTTTACAAAATGGCATTGCAAGCTCCACCTCTTTGGCCTTTCTCTCCAGCTGACTTTATTTTGGGGAAAGGGATGAGGGCCTTGCTGCTGATTCCCACCAAAGCTGAGAATGGCTTGTTTAAAAAATGCCTAGTACTGGGGCTGCGAGGGAGTGATAGTTCATGCTGGGGCAAAAGCCAGATGTTCAGCGTGGTGTTCTGGGCTTTGCTCTTTGAGCCTGTCCCTAGGAGACCATGTGGGCTGTATTTGGCCACGGGGCTTCGCTGGCCTTCCGTCCTCAGTACAGAACTTGGAGTGGTTAGTCCTCAAATATCTTCTGATTATTGAGTGCTCCAGATGTTTCTACTCTGCTCCTTTGTAACCATTCCCAGAGGGGCAGGTCCTCTTTTGTTATTAAAGGTGCTGATCTTTTACTCAGATAAGGTATCACTCAGTAGCTGTAATGCCACAGCTTTGGGGTCTTCCCTTTCCTGTACCCTCTGCCTCTCATCTGTGAGGTGGCAGGCCAGGGTTTGAGATGCTGTCTGTGACTGGCATTAACTTCAAGGACAACTTGAACGACTACCTACTATCTTTATGATTAGTTTCAGGGGTAAACCTTACATTTCTTCTGCTGTTAACCAGTCTGTTTCATTTTTCTATGTCATTGCAATAAAGCGGAAATGATTTTTCTTCTAATCGTATATCTTTTTCAATGACTGTTATGCCCTCCCTTCTGAATTCACTCATAAAATGCCAGTGGTCATTCTGTAAGACATTGCAACAAACTGCATGTATGAATTTACTGGATTATATTCCTTCTGGACTCAGAAGTGATTTGGTAGAGATTTGAGAATAGATAACTTTCCCATTTATTTCTTTTTAAAAAAAATTATTTTATTTAACTTTATTTATTTTAATATGACCAGAGAGGGGCAGAGAGATAGAGAAAGTGAGAAAGTAAGCTGCCTGGTCTGTACTCGAACTACAATAGGCCACCTTTATCCACCATGCCACCTGCCGGCCCCTCCCTATTTCTTGAACAGTTTTGGTATCCAGTTGCAGAGATGGTTATTTCTGCTATTTGTCTACAGTTTGGGATGTCTGACCTTCAGCTGAATCTTCATGTGGAAGAGGATGGCCCCATTATGCATTTATTTAAGATTTATTTGTTTTTTATCTTAGCTCTTTTTTTTTTTTTTTTTAAACTTTTACAAAATGGCATTGCAAGCTCCACCTCTTTGGCCTTTCTCTCCAGCTGACTTTATTTTGGGGAAAGGGATGAGGGCCTTGCTGCTGATTCCCACCAAAGCTGAGAATGGCTTGTTTAAAAAATGCCTAGTACTGGGGCTGCGAGGGAGTGATAGTTCATGCTGGGGCAAAAGCCAGATGTTCAGCGTGGTGTTCTGGGCTTTGCTCTTTGAGCCTGTCCCTAGGAGACCATGTGGGCTGTATTTGGCCACGGGGCTTCGCTGGCCTTCCGTCCTCAGTACAGAACTTGGAGTGGTTAGTCCTCAAATATCTTCTGATTATTGAGTGCTCCAGATGTTTCTACTCTGCTCCTTTGTAACCATTCCCAGAGGGGCAGGTCCTCTTTTGTTATTAAAGGTGCTGATCTTTTACTCAGATAAGGTATCACTCAGTAGCTGTAATGCCACAGCTTTGGGGTCTTCCCTTTCCTGTACCCTCTGCCTCTCATCTGTGAGGTGGCAGGCCAGGGTTTGAGATGCTGTCTGTGACTGGCATTAACTTCAAGGACAACTTGAACGACTACCTACTATCTTTATGATTAGTTTCAGGGGTAAACCTTACATTTCTTCTGCTGTTAACCAGTCTGTTTCATTTTTCTATGTCATTGCAATAAAGCGGAAATGATTTTTCTTCTAATCGTATATCTTTTTCAATGACTGTTATGCCCTCCCTTCTGAATTCACTCATAAAATGCCAGTGGTCATTCTGTAAGACATTGCAACAAACTGCATGTATGAATTTACTGGATTATATTCCTTCTGGACTCAGAAGTGATTTGGTAGAGATTTGAGAATAGATAACTTTCCCATTTATTTCTTTTTAAAAAAAATTATTTTATTTAACTTTATTTATTTTAATATGACCAGAGAGGGGCAGAGAGATAGAGAAAGTGAGAAAGTAAGCTGCCTGGTCTGTACTCGAACTACAATAGGCCACCTTTATCCACCATGCCACCTGCCGGCCCCTCCCTATTTCTTGAACAGTTTTGGTATCCAGTTGCAGAGATGGTTATTTCTGCTATTTGTCTACAGTTTGGGATGTCTGACCTTCAGCTGAATCTTCATGTGGAAGAGGATGGCCCCATTATGCATTTATTTAAGATTTATTTGTTTTTTATCTTAGCTCTTTTTTTTTTTTTTTTTGAGAGTTTTTGTTTGTTTGTTTGTTTTTGCTATAGGGAACGTGCACGTGCCAGAAAGACAGAGAGAAATAGAGAGACAGAAAGTGAGAAATCACCCCCCTGGGGGATGGCCACGCCGCAATCTCTTCTCCATTCTCCTCTTGGGATCTTGGGCGCACACACACACACGTGCCCGGCGTGAGTTTAAGCCACCAGGTCCGGGATGCGAACCGCAGTCGACAACGTTGGAGTCTAGTGACATAGCCATTATGCTAACTGCTGGTCCCTCTTAGCTCATTTTCTGTAACAGAAAGTTTTACTGTAACAATACCTGAGGGGCCAGCAGGTGATGTGGTGATTGACAGCACTGGACTCCCACATAGCCAACTGTGGTTTGAGTCCTGGCTTGTTTTTGCACTTTCTCTCTCTCTCTCTCTCTCTGTCCCTCTCTGGTCAAATTAAAAAAATAAGTAAGTAAATAAGTAAAGTTAAATAAAATAATTCTTTAAAATAAAACAAAAGCAGAATACCTGACACTGAATACGTTATAAAGAACCATTTATTTGGCTTAAGATTCTGGAGACTGGGAATTCCAAAGGCATGGTGTGGGCCCTTACTTGGTATTTGGCGAAGGCCTTCTTGCTGCATCATGACATGGTGAAGGGCATCAGATGGTGAGAGGGCAACCTTGTATCAGCTCAGGTCTCTCTTCCCCTTCTTAGAAAGCCGCCCATCATGGTGACCCCTCTCTGTTGACCTCATCTAATCCTAATTACCTCCCAAAGGCCCCACCTCCAAATAACATCACCATATGTATTTGGGGACTAACTTTCCAATATATGAAATTTGGGGACACATAGCATTCTTGGAGTTAATTAATATTTATTGGATGGATATCTTCTATGTGCCTAACACTATTACAATCACTTTGGGATATATTAATGACAAAAAACAGACAAAAATTCCTGATCTTGAGAACCTTACGTTGTCCTGAGTGTGTGTTGGGGAAGATAAACAATAAATAGTAAACAGGATAAAGAGATATAAGTGATATACTAATGTAGATAATGTGTTATGGAGAAAGTAAAAATAGAATTGGGTAAGGGGGAGAGAGGCTATAGAATGGAGGAAGGGCAAAATATGATATTGAGTTGAGTGAAGAGCCTCTCATAGAAAATGGATCTGAATGAGAGAGCGAAGACCCTAAGATGGGCATGTTTGGCATGAGCCGATGGTACTATCTTCAGTTTTAGGTACTCTCCCCATTTTGGGGAGTTATTTTTTATGTAAAAGCAGGTTACGTCTGAGATTCGTTGCCTGTTTTTAGAATACCCAGTGAAACTTCCCCAAGTTGAGCGGGTGGGGTATTGTACTGGGAAAGGAGAGCCAGCAGGGAAGGGAAGGTGCAGATGACAGTGGGGAAATGGTCAGGGATGGTGACACCCTTCGTTTGGGGAGTGTTTATTGTCTGCCAGGGCTGGCTGTCTGCTTGGGCCTGCAACTGTGCAGCCCTCCAGGGGCCACACTTGGCTCGATGCTCTTACTGTCACTACCTTGAAAGTTTTGGTGATTTTTGAACAGGCAGCCTCACATTTTCAATTTGTAGTGGGTCCCACAAGTTATGTCACTGGTCCTGCTTTTTTTTTTGTAGTACTTTACAAAAATTATGCCGTTTGCTCCCCCTCACCTTTTTATAATTTCGCTAAAGGGTGCACACACTTGCCAGAGAGAGAGA